GACCTCAGTCTGTTGTTAAAGACCAGGGGTCCCCAAAGCATTTGCCTTAAGGGCCAAATTCCATTAGCAACACAAAGTCAAAGTCCGACAAAATTCACCAAGCCCCCACGATTGCAAAGTCAGCCAGATGGAGACCCCTATCATCGGCAGTCATAAGCCACAATGCATGTGGTGAGAGCTGCTGAGAAGAGCTGCAGAGTTCTAACAGACAGAGTTCTAACAGACATGGTTACAGGGGTGTTACATGAGCCCTTGGCATGGGGCTCCAAAAACAGAGCAAGCCCAAGTGTGTCACATCTCCATGTCAACTGTGCTTTATGCACTATAGTTAAGCAGGGATGTTCAACACGGTAAATCTGCCCAAAAGAAGAAGGAACAGGACGCAGAGTCCTCTAAATGCTACCGCAGAAGCCGTGTTCCTTCGTCTCCGGGTGCGACAGACGCTCTTCAGTCACTAGAACCACACAAATGGCCTAATGAGTTTCACACAGTGGTTAAGAAGGTCAGAGACGACCATCTTCACATAAACAGGAAGTAGCTTGTGAAGGGTTGGTGCCTCATCCTGGGTCATTCCCTGCCTTGTGCCTGTTGTTTCCCTGGACCCCTACAACTCTGTATAGAAAAAGCCATCTAGAAGATGAATAGTGAAATGGATGGATGGTTGTAAACAAATTTGGCTCTGACTGATGCTCAGAGATCAACCTAGCACTAAGCAGGCATGATGCCATTAGTTTGCTTGTTTTTACTATGTACAATTTTGTGTCCTTAATATTTCAACATAAGCAAAATACACAAACTTTGGAAAAAAGTAAAAACACTGTCATCTCCTCTGTAAACTTACTTACGTTGAATTTTCTTGAGTTTGGTTGGTGTGGGGTTAAGGATTTTGCATTAAAATGAATGTAAACTAAACATCCCAGCAAAGATAGAATGTGTGTACATGTACATTTGCCTGCATGTTTGTCAACAAACAAACACTCTTTCCTCTGTTGCAGGAAGCATTGTTACTCTACCTGCCTGAATCCTATACAGTTTTTTTTACACATCTGTCATTATATTTGCCTACACACAAGGCTGGAAGCTGGAGTCCATTTTTATTTCAAAAGAATGACATTTCTAGGGTCTGAGCAAAGATAGGACTGGCCATCCTTCTGTGACAGCTGGGTTCACAAACCCTATTTGTGGAAAACCCAAGAGAATCTTGGCAATCAACATAAAAAGGCTGGGGATTCAGTAAGCACACCCCCACTGATGTCCTCCAAGGCAACAATACTGTGCTCTGTAGATTAACTCTCTTATGGGATTGTGCACAAGACCATATTAAATTGCACAGTAAATTCGACCATTCAAAAAGAGTGCCATTTCTGTGCCAGACAGTAAAAGACCACTGCTTATCACCACATATACTCAGTGACTTGTACATTTAACGAGAAATTGAATTTCACGCTCTTTTTGCAGGAATAAAGGCCAACACGTATGAAGTACCTGGAGTTCTCATACACCGCTGAGTTACGGTAAATCAGATTCCACTGACTCCACTTCACGCAATCAAGAAATCATCAAGTCAAAGCAGGTACACTGCCAGTTGTCCCTAGTGTGCCATAAAAGGACCACAAATGAAATCAGGGCACAGACTTCAGATCATCTGCGGGCTCCAACGCAAACCGGAATTCTCTTTCAATTGATTTTTCACATGTGAAATCTGATATAATTAGATAATATATATATAAATAAATGAGCTGAAAAGCTTTTCTTTGAGTGCATGATGGCAGCAGAGGGAGTCAACAAATTGAAGATAAATTGAATTAGATTATTCCTGTTGATACTCTAGCCCCAGGAAAACTGTTTAACAAGGTAGTGGCAAACTCAAAAGGACTCAGCTAGGGATTAAAATAGAACACAGCCAACCAGAAAAATCTGCGCTTTACCTTTTACAGCACCTAAGTGTTTTAAAGACTTACAGTTACTGTTGCAGTCCAAGGCTGTTCTCTGGCATGTCCATTTGAACTGGCTGGAGAATTTTATCCACAATGCAATGAGGAGGCTAACTGTTCACTCTACGTCCTTTAAAGTAAAACTTCACTCTGCATAATATTCAACCCATGGCAACAGCAGGAGCGACAGCGAGTTATGTCCTCAAAGCCTTGCCATA